GAATCCTGATACCAGTCAAGTATCTGAGACCTGAGAAACGAATTATTAGGATTGCCTGTAAAGAAACTGCTTAAAAAAAGTGCTGTACCTAGTTTAAATCTGCCCCAAACCTGTACAACATATGTACCTACCAAAAAATTCATCGCGAGAGGCAAGGTATTTAAAAAAGGAAAAGGTGACACGTCACAAAGAAGAAAATAATATATCCATTCAGTATGAAAAGCTCCGCGAAAATTACTCTAAATTATGCAAAAAAATGGAAAGTATGAAGCGAAGATTGAATTTACAAAGAAAACAGCTTGTTTATTATAAAATGAAAAGTAAGAAAAAAAAATCTCCTCTGAAAGAAGAGGCCCTAAATGCATTGAAAAAACTTTTGACAGATAATCAAATTGCCATTCTTCTAAACAAAAAAAAACGCGTGAATTGGACTACAGAAGAGATTGCTGTTGCTTTTATTCTTCGTTATCTTAGCAGAAAATGTTATGTATTTTTGCGAACTAAACTAAATTTTCCTTTACCAGCATTGTCCATTTTAAGGAGTTGGGCATCAAAAATTACTATAAAGCCAGGCTTATTGAAAGATGTGCTAACTTTTTTGAAAGTAGCTGGAGAAAATATGTCGATCATGGAACAATATGTAGTAATTTCCTTCGACGAAGTAAAGGTTAAATCTACTTTAGAATCTACTTTAGAATATGATGTTGGCGAAGATCAAGTTCTAGGCAACTACAACTTTTTTCCACTTGGAAGCAGTCTATTTATATAGGCTTCGACCAAAAAATGACGAAGGATATATTAATGAACATTATTACACAATTGCATAAAATATCATACCAGTGTGTGGCAATTGTCAGCGACTGTGGAAGCAGTAATGTTGGCTTGTGGAAAGATTTATCTGTTGATATAAATAAGACCTATTTCAACCATCCACAGACGGAAAAAAATATATATGTTTTTGCGGATGCTCCACATTTGCTTAAACTCATCCGTAATTGGCTTTTGGACAGAGGATTTGTTCTAGACAGTGACGGAAATATTAAAATATGTAAACAACCGTTGGAAAATTTAATAGAGTTAACTGATACAGAGGTAAATTCCTGTTACAAAATTTCGCAAAAACATATTACTGTTGAAAAAAGTAAACGACAAAACGTAAGACTAGCAGCCGAATTATTGTCCCGCAATACAGCACAGGCTCTGTTACGATACAAACCTGGCCCCGACAAAAAACTTGCTGANTATATATATATATACCTTATTCTGTAGAATAAGGTATATATTAGAAGTTATAAAACATTTATTGTATGTATTGGTTGGACAGGTAGATAAATTATCACTCTGATGTGACCTCAGTAACTTTTATCTATTCAGTTGATTTGATTCCTGAATGAGTATTCGGCTTTTACTTTTTTTTTTCTCATTGATTTCGCCGTTACTTGATGAAGATCCATAGTAATTTCGAAAACTACACCTCAACGATTTGATCTTCACAAACTTTATTTGAAAAATATATCACAACATGTTTCGCTAAGACATTAGCTTTTTCAAGTGATTTTGTTTCTATGAGACGATTGTTTTTTTTACAACATGTACAGCACGTCCGCATTTTCACGAACAATCAAACTATACTCACGCATATCTACCTAATTCAGGAATGTTCTTTGTATTTTTTGAAAAGATTCAGAGAAAATTTCAAGCTTTTCCACGATTATAAAACTGTTTTCGATTTAATTTCTATATGAGCGTTACAATTTTTTTTTCTATTTTGAAAACATACCAATATTGAAACTTTTCTCAAAACAAACTAACCTGGATAACCTACACTTAATCCAACCAATATTGAAACTTTTATCAAAACAAACTAACCTGGATAACCTACACTTAATCCACTTAGTGCGGGATATCCTCCACCAACGATTTTCAATACTGAAAACAAATATTCAATCATGATATAGCCAAAGAGTTGTTTGAAAAGTTGTCATTCGAATACATAATATAACACATCTCCGACAAAATCTTGATTCAAAATGTGACGATCATTTTTATGAATTATTAATAACATTTCAACAAACACCAGTTTGTTTTAAAACGTTTCAGATATCGTTGTTCAAAAATTTTTGGAACTGATATGTTAAGAACATTCATGCCAACAAATGATAACAAAATTGTTGTTTACATATTTTAGAGAATTAGTAATGCAGAAAATATCTACAACATCTAAATCCACCAAACCTAAATTCACGATTCTCAAATCTAAAATATCCAAACCTAAGGACCCATGTTCACACACTATTTCGCAATTTCCAAAAAAGTAATTTCAAAGTCCACAAACTCCTGAATGTAGTTACAAAATTGCTTAAGTAAGTAACACGCTGTGAGTTTACAAATCTACACAGCGTGTTTAAATATACAGTAGTTTTTGTTCAGTTTCAACCGAATTCTACCTACTTAGTGCTTTTTATATGCTTTATCAATTTATTACATTTTTGGGAAAGAAAAGTTTTGGCCCGCAACTTCTTCATCGTTGACTACAAAAAAATGTGGGAATGTTCCGAAAAAAGAAGAAAGTAATCAATTTAAAAAAATCAACTGAATACAAAACCTTTATGTTCCAAAAATCAATACTCCTAATGAATGTTTCGAATTTGTGAATGTGACATTCATCTCTTCTAAATACTCACACAGTGAGTTTTGGTGAATGTCTGTTGGAAAATAGCTATCTCCTCGGCTGATACCACGCTGAATATTGAATTATATCCAACAGACATTTGAGCAGGCCGGTTTCGAGGTATTACTTCTCGCCAATGCAAGAAAGATGCGACCTAGACAACAAGGTGTCTGGGACTCGATTAATTTCAACACGGCTCCACTACATTAATGAAACCTTCGCCTAAGATTGTTAACTAGTAACAACAACAACTTCATCTCGTGAACAAATATATAAGCGGGGCAGAAACATATCAAGTATAGTTGAAGTAAATGATATTGTGCACATTTAAAGGTGGCGTCACTTCAGAGGCCAAAAAAACAATACATAGAAATGAACCGGCCGCGAACTATTCCACGTGGACTGTAAAATTGGCGGTTCGTATTGGATATTTTTCACTAATCGAGTTTCATGATCGGCTGAAGACTCATTAATAGAGTCTTGATAATTCTTCTTCCAGTCGATTGACAGTGGTTAGATTTGTGGTTCAGATACTGTCCCGTATGAGTTGGTTTTCGGTATACAGATGTTTCCCACTTAGTATCGGTCCTCTTCTCCAAAACGTCTAAGAATGGCAATTCGTTGTGGATTTCCTTCTCCATTGTGAAAGTGATGGAAGGTCTCACGCTGTTGATGTGTTTCAGGAAGGTGTCTAGTTCTGTATTCCCATGGTTCCATATTATGAAGGTGTTGTCAACATATCTCAACCGAATCTCTGGAGATGATGATAAGTCTGGCGAAGTAACTTGACTTGGAATCTCTTAACTTTTTATTTATTTTTTTCAGTTGTTCAATTTTACTTGTATTTTATTTCACTATTATTTCAAGTTTTTTTTTGCTCAATATAATTGTTTTTTTCAGCTACTCATTTTTAAATCTACTTCCTTAGTTCTTTCAGGGATTTCAAATCATTGTATATAATGTCAAACAATGGAAGTCCGAACTAATGAAACTAATCAGGTGTTATTTTTTTGATGAATGAGATAGCTCTTTATTCTTTCATATCATTATATGAGATATCATTATCCCTCATCAAAAACTCACTTTCAATTTCATTATATTTGGTGTCGATTTTTTTTATATGGATATGAGTTGTCAGTGAGTAGATCATTAGGATAATGTTTTCGAATCAAGCATCCATTATTTCATTATATTTTTTGGAACATCTATTTCATAGCTGTTCCACAAATTTGTTCATTGAATTGGTTAGGAAGTGACAACTAATTTCGAACATGAAATTGACTAAATTGAGAGGGGTTATATTTTTAGGAGTGATTAATTTTTGGGAAAGAAAGTTTTTGGCTTTCTACTACTCCATCTTGATACAAAAAAATGTGGGAATTTTCCAAAGAAACGAAGGAAGTAATCAGTTTGAAAATAAGTAACTCTATACATGGATGTGTAGATCATGCAAAGAAGTAACTTTCAGACACAAACTGGAAGAAAGCCCCCCTGAAACAGTTACTTTCATATAAACATTGAATTACACGAAAGAAAAAATTCTTTCGAAACAAATACTCTTATATGAACACTGAAATTATACAAAAGATACTTTTCTCTACTCGGTTTGTATTCCAAACATTCGTTATGAAATAAAATCAGATATCATTCGTAATTCATGAATGAATTGTGTGTTTTTTCTATAATGTTATCCAATTTGGTACTGAAGAGCCTTGGGGCAAGTGTCTTACGGCGAAACATCGGTGTCTACCAGTGAGGATGACAGTGTTCCATATAAGTGCAATTTGTTACCATTCATTTAAAGTAGAACTCCTGTGAATGATATCTGATTTCATTCCACAACAAATGTTTGGAATACAAACTGAGTAGTATAATTCAGTGTTCATATAAAAGTATTTGTTTCGAAATAATTTTTTTCTTTCATGTAATTCAATGTTTATATGAAAGTAGCTGTTTCAGGAGTGCTTTCTTCAAGTTTCTTACTTAGTTACTTCTTTGCATGATCTACACATCCATGTACAGTTACTTATTTTCAAATTGGTTACTTCCTTCCATTCTTTGGAAGATTCCCACATTTTCTGTATCAAGATGAAGTAGCAGAAAGCCAAAAAATTTCTTTCCCAAAAAATAAAATTGACAATTTTCATAAATGATTTCTTTTTGAAGTACGGTGAATTCCTGTGTTCCCATTCACTGGAATCATATGAATTTGTTATATTTTGTTGGTGAATTCAGCAATTTCGATGTTTGGAGAATCGTTAGCTTTTTGTTGTATGGAAGGAAACTTGGAGAAGATGAGGGTAGAACGATATAAATTAAACTATTCTGCTTAACTACTGCACCAAGTTTATTATTCAAGTAGTAAGAAAAAACAATTTTTACCTAAACTACTTTTTTTTTGGGCAGCAGACTCCAGCGAACCTGAAAAATAAAAAATATTACTTCGAAATTCAAATGAGAGAAGAAATGATAACATTTGTTCATTAGTCGATACTTCATTATTCATTTTGGCTTACATACGAATGATTTTAAGTTATACTTACGTCGTTTCCAAAGGACAGAAATATTGAAGATAGACTTGGAAATCTATCAAGTACGTGAACACCTCAGGACAGTCCTTCAGAAGTGTACATTGTCCGGGAATGGTTCCATTCTCAGGTGTTTTTGGACAATCAAGGCCAGGAGGAACTGTAGCATTTTTGCCGATATCGTAGATTACTGTAAAGTAATAAATTGATAAAAGTGACACGTTTTGTATCTATAGAGTCAATTGAATATGCATCGATTTATCTCAAAAGTGCACTCAGTAGATGTCAGTGTGATTAGTAATGAATTATAACGAACCCACATTCACAAATATAACTGACTGACAAAATCAGGAATAGATTCATGAAATCAATATTATTCAACTCAACATGAACTAAAGAATTTTTGCATATCCCTCAACAGGAAGGAAGTAGTGGATGTCTATATACAAGGTGTAACTAAATAAGTGTAGAACATTTAAGGAGGTGATTCCTCATCGAAAAAAAGATAGGATCTTTCATATAAAGAAATTACAGTGGAGCATCCCGTGTTGAAATACAACCCCTTAAAAGGGGTACATACAATTTGTATAACAATTTTTTTCACAAGCACTAAAAAAGTTACAATATTGAAATTACCCTGACGTTTTGTACTACCAAAAAGACACTTGGCCAGAAATTTATTTGGTTTACCCCATGGTTGTAAGGGGTGGTAAACGCAACCCCTAAAATTTATTTCCAATGTAACTTTTTGTCTTATTATTTGATTACCATTTAAAAATTTATTTACGATATCCTGTTTCATTCTAAACAAAAAATGTCTCTTGGGTTTTTTGCCCAAAATAAATCAGTTCGCAGCAAAACATTATTTTTGGAACAACTACAGAGATACATCGTAATAAATGCGAAAATACGAAACTAATCTATCTACTAGGTCGCTATCAGCGATAGTGACAATTAAATTGTTATGCCGCTGTCAGTTTGTCAATTTTCGAAATTGAAATAATACTAATTGTATGTTATTGTTCTGTTCTTAATTTGTTACTTTAATAATTCACTTGATATTAAAATGGCATACACAAATGAGGAAATGGCTGATACGCATTACGTTTACGGTCTGTCGCAGGGGAATGGGTTGGAAGCTTCTAGAAGATATGCTGAAATGAATCCACAAAGGCAGCATCTTTCACATAGAATATTTGCTCGACTTCATCAACGATTACGAGAATATGGTTCATTCGACAAAAAATGCAGGATTGTAGTCGCCACCGAGAAGTACGAACACCACAGCTTGAGGAAGCAGTTCTTAATTTGATTGAAGAACAACCTACTACCAGTAGATTGCTTTCCAGCTAAATGTTGATCATATGACGTTATTTCGAATTTTAAAGGAACAACTCTTATACCCTTACCATCTGCAACGAGTATAGGCACTGTTACCGCGAGACTTTCCGAACCGTCTTGAATTTTGCAATTGGATGCTGGAAATGATTAGAAGAAATTGTGACTTTCTGAAGACGATAGAATTCACAGACGAATTTAGTTTTCGGAACAAGATTATTAATTTTCATAATTACCACATATGGGCTGATGAAAACCCTCACACTATTGTCGAAACTAACCATCAAGAACAGTTTTCTCTTAACGAGTGGCTCGGAGTTATTGGGGATGATTTAATTGGGCCTCATTTTCTACCTCCTCGATTGAATGGTGAGGCATACGTCCAATTTTTAAGAGAAGTGAATCCAGTACTGCCGGAGGAAGTTCCTTTGGGTGTCCGAAGGGATATGTTTTTTATGCACGATGGTGCTCCCGCCCATTTGAGTTGAGTAGCACGTCAGCATTTAACTGAAACATATGCAAATCAGTGGATAGGTCGAGGAGAACCACAGAACTGGCCCTCTCGATACCCGGATTTCAATCCTCTCAATTTCTCTATTTGGGGACATTTAAAGCATTTGGTTTATCGTATTCCTGTTGGCGATGTAAGAAACCGAATCATCGATGCGTGCAGGGTAATCAGAGAGACTCCAGGAATAATTGAGCGAATACGTAGGTCAATGCGCCGACGTCTAGACGCATGCGTAATGTCTGAAGGTGGACATATTGAACATTTACTATGATTTATACATGTTGTGTTTTAATATTAATAAATTAGTTTTGTTTATTACCCTTTAATCGTTTAATGCAGGTACTAACTACAAAATAACAATAAATCCAGCTCGCATTTATGACGATGTATCTCTGTAGTTGTTCGTAAAATAATTTTTTGCTGCGAACTGGTTTATTTTGGGCAAAAAACCCACGAGACATTTTTTGTTTAGAATGAAGCAGACTATCGTAAATACATTTTTGAATGGTAAACAAATAATGAGAACAAAAGTTGGATTGGACATAAATTTTAGGGATTGCGTTTTCCACCCCATACAACCATGGTGTAAACCAAATAGATTACTGAATAAGTGTCTTTTTGGTAATACAAAACGTCGGGTTGATTTCAATATTGTAACTTTTTCAGTGCTTGTGAAAAAAATTGTTATACACATTTCATGTACCCCCTTCAAGGGGCTGTATCTTAACAAGGTATGCTCCAATGAAGTTCCTTTATACGAAAGATCCTATCTTTTTTTCGATGGGGAATCACCTCCTTAAATGTTTTACACTTATTCAGTTACACCCTGTATATTTCTTCATACAATAGTGTATCTGAAACCCAAGAACTCCAAGAAACATTTAGAGCCACCAGAAATTTTACAGAAAACACCAGTTCCGTATCGATACTGATTCTTTGAAAATCCAATTTACCTCGTGTCATCCCAATCCCTTTTGCCGTCACGTACAATATTAAGGAACAATATTTTCATTATGGTAACACTCCTAGGTTCAACGTTTCCCAGACATTTTCTTAAACGAAGGTTTTCCGTCATGTTCAAGATTTCAGCTGATTTTCAGAAAATTATGTGGGTTCGTTTTCACACCTAAAGTGTGATCCATAGCATTGAAAAAATATTTGTCGATATCAGGCTGTGGTTATTTTTTTTTCGGAAAGTTTTGTTACGAAAATATTGTATTACGGAGATTTATAATAAAATCACTTCATAGAACAAGTGCTTGATAAAAAAGTTACTAGACTTAGTTTTTGAATGAACTGTGAGCAGAAGTAGTATTAATGCAGTACAAAAACTTGAGTATAATGATCTGGATACAAAAAATTTGAATCGCTACTGGATGTACACAAAAACAATCCTTGTTAGACAATAAAATATCGTGTGTAATTGAATAATCACCTCCAGATATATTGAGAGATTTGTTGGCATCCAAAACATCATTTAGCCACGGTAATGAGTCTTCCAAACTTGAAGTTGGAACTGATTCCTCTTCGTCATCCTTTGTGATATCTAAGGCATCTGCGAAAAATAAAAAAGACATGTAAATTGGAAATTATTATGGAATAATAATAATGATACAATGATGTTTCATGCAGCTGCAGTTTCGTAAGAAGTTATCATCTTTTCCTCCAACCGATTTCCTGGAGTCTTTGAAGTCCACTAGATACTCGTTAGGACAACAAGAGAATTGTTTCGAATTCTTGGGGTTCTTGTTAAATACTATTCTTGAGAAAAATAATAGCAAAATCAATACTCTTGACCGCCCTGGATTGAATGATTCCGTACAATCCATCTCGTCTTGTGTTTGTAAATCTTTTGCTGGAAAAATCCCCACTTGTTTACTTTGTAGTAAATGTTCAAGAGGTAGCGAAAACTTATGTGAATTTCTGGAACTTCATCTAGCTTTTCCTAATATGACTAATAACCAGTCCGTGCAAAACTTATTGTTAAATCATCTGAAAATGGAATTTTTAACAGGTGATGATCGACTGTAATGCCAAACATGCGACAAACTAACTGACTGTTATAAGAAAACATGTATATCTGAGGCACAAGTCAAACTGATAATAACACTGATGATCTTCAAACAAGACTCAACCTCTAACGGAAGCAAGAAACTCTTTGGAAGGTTCGAAATAGATGAATATTTCAATCTAGCAGACCACTATTATAATATTCATGCAGTCATTGTTCACTGTGGTTCTGGCGTTGAATTTGGTCATTATTACGCCTTGGTCAAAGACGAAACGAAGGGTTTAAGTTTGACGATAGTCGTGTCACGAAGTGTCCTGGCGATGCATTAAATCTATTAGAGCCTCTGGAGACACCCCACATTTTGTTCAATAAGATAGAGGACATTGGTAGATCAAGATCTTCAGATGATGTGATGCTGCAGGTTTTTCCGGATTTTCCTGCAGCTGATAAAGCAAATACGCCTCCGGAATCAATGAAGTCGGCCCGGAGCGCCAATTATTTTTTATTGTTGTTTTTATTTTTAGTGTTGTGTTAATTAACTGAAGTATATATGCACTGACAGCAGACAAGCCCTATTAGTCTTGAACAGACAACGTGTAACCTCAGGGCTAGTACTAGAGTGTCACCAATATTTAGCCAAAGTCTTGGTAGATGATAACATCATTCTGAGGTGGGTTAAGGGGCACGACAAAAAAAAAGGTAATACATTGCCGATTCTTAAGCCAAGGAAGCGGCTGGACTAAGAAGTTTAGGACCTGATGACTTCGACCTGATGACTTCGACAATTGCGGAACTAGTCAAATGTTACACCCATGCTCAATCTTTAAAGAGATGGGATGAAATCAAAGGATGTAATCTTGCCAGGATCACCTTGGGCGACCTTGGGAAGTTGGCGCCGAAGAAATATCTGGCGATGACCAGGAAAAATCTACGCTTTACAGTAGGATTTCTGACTGGCCACTGTCAGCTGAGGAAACACCTCCATAATATGGAGCTAGTGGACACACCTCTATGCAGGATGTGTGAACAGGAAGATGAGACTGTCAGGCATGTCCTGTGCGAGTGCCCGGAGTTATCGTCAATGAGAGAGTATGTGTTCGGCGAGTCTTGAGCTACACCTGCCGATATAAAGGAGATGTTTTCCAGTAACCTGTCCACCATCCTGAAAAGGACAGGATGGACGATGACCTAGGAGGACAACTCCTCGGGAGGATGTACAATGGGTCACATATGGCCTACTCTACTCTACAGATACAGAAGTGAATGCTATATCATTTTCATAAGTTTGAAACTTGAAAAGGAACCCAAGAAGCAATACTCAATTAATGAGCTACTAAGGGTCTGTGTAACTTTTTTCACAAAGAATTTCTGCTTCAGATGTTGATCTATAGTTATTCCTGAATATTCAGTTGATTCGGGTTCTTCTATTTGAAAATTACCATTTTTCAGTATGAGTAAACTATTTTTGTAGATACTGAATGGCAAATATGTGATTTTATCATAGTATATGATAATTAAATGAATGCTTCATAGATGACGACTGTAACGTCTGATCTAATTCAGATTATTTCACGTTTATGGAACGATGAAAGTTTGGATCATGTCAAAATATTTCTCAGGCGATGTCATATTCTATTTCTCAGTAACTTGTATTCAATAATAAAGAAGCTGAGGAATTATTCAGTTATTTATCTCACCGTTTCAGAGGCCTAAATCTGCTTTGTCTTCACAATTGGAGAAAACTTAACTTTATGAGCAGTTTTTTTCCGTTGATATCAGAACTCTATTGAAACTAATATTTTCTTTCGTTAAACTCAAAAATTCGTAACATGGTGACCCCATAATAGAATGGAAAATACAAACTCAAATACTCACCAGGTTGCCCCCATCCATCAGGTAAAAATGGTGCTGAAAAATAAACATCTTATTATATTGTCTAAAGGTACGTTTTCAACAGTGATTTTTTTTCACTGATGAAGAAGCTACTGTGTTAACGAAACATGTCGTGATATATTTTTCAAATAAAGTTTGTGGAGATCAAATCGTGAAATGTAGTTTATGGAAATATAATTGCTTGACAGTATTATACACAATAATGAAAGTTTTCTGACAGGAAAAATTGATAATAGTTATAGGGTCTACAAACATAATTTCTTACATAAAAACTCAAATATGTCAAAACGGTTAGATTAAGATAAGGGTCATTTCTCACAAAAAGTATTTAGATTCTGATGTAGAGTCTAAAAATGTAATAATATACAGTGTGGCCCACTAAGTGTGCAACAAATGGGAAACTTTTTTATTATCGATTTCTAAAAAAAATTTATTCTTGAAAAAAGTTGGTGCATATACCAAAACTATACCAAGTGTATAGTCCAGACTTAGTGGACCACACTGTATAAGATGTAACGTTCAAAATAACAAAGTTGACAACCACTTTCGGTATAACCGGTATAACTGAATTTGTAAAATTCGATTAATGAAATGAATCGAGTGATTGACTTACTTGTGAGTTGATATCTGGTATCTGGAGCTAATGCTGAAAAAATAATACTTAATCACTCTTCTGGAATATGTCTTATATTTTGTAACATGAATAAACCATTTTTTGTAACAAAAATAAATCTAGAATTGAGATGAAACTGCATGTCGGAAAAATCTCGAATATGAACACTCATTTCTCTTAGAATAATACGGTGTGAGCGGATAAAAAAAATGTTTGTGTAGAGATCATTGTAAATGAACAATTTATCAGTAAAATACACGGTGTAACTAAATAAGTGTGAAACATTCAAGGAGGTGATTCCTCATCGAAAAAAAGATAGGATCTTTCATACAAATAAATTTCATTGGTGCATCCTTTGTTAAGATACAGCCCCTTGAAGAGGGTGAATAAAATTAGTATAAAATTTTTTTCCACAAGTACTAATGAAGTTACAATATTGAAATTAACCTTACGTTTTGTACAACCAAAAAGACAATTAGCGAGAATTTTATTCGGTTTACCCCATGGTTGTAAGAGGTGGAAAACGCAACCCCTAAAATTCATTTCCAATGTAACTTTTCGTCTTATTATTTGTTTACCATTTAAAAATGTATTTCCGATAGCCTATCATTCTAAACAAAAAACTTCTCTTGAGTTTTTTGCCCAAAATGAACCGGTTCGCAGCAAAAAATTATTTTACGAACAACTACAGAGATACATCGTCATAAATGCGAAAATACGAAACTAATGTATCTAGTAGGTCGCTATTAGCGGTAGTGACAATTAAATTGGTATGACGCTGTCAGTTTGTGAATTTTCGAAATTGAATTGATACTAATTATGTGTTGTTGTTTTGTTCTTAATTTGTTACTTTAATAACTCATTCGTTATTAAAATGGCAGATACAAATGAGGAAATGGCTGATATGCATTACGTTTACGGTCTGTCGCAGGGGAATGGGTTAGAAGCTTCTAGAAGATATGCTGAAATGAATCTACAAAGGCAGCATCCTTCACATAGAATATGGTTCATTCGACAAAAAAACGCAGGATTGTGGTCGCCATCGAGAAGTATGAACACCACAGCTTGAGGAAGCATTACTTAATTTGATTGAAGAACAACCTACTACCAGTACTAGAAAGATTGCTTTCCAGCTAAATGTTGATCTTATGACGGTATTTCGAATTTTAAAGGAACAACTATTATACCCTCACCATCTGCAACGCAATTGGATGCTGGAAATAATTGGAAGAAATTGTGACTTTCTGAAGACGATAGAATTCACAGACGAATGCAGTTCGCCGGACAAGATTATTAATTTTCATGATTACCACATATGGGCTGATGAAAACCCTCACGCTATTGTCGAAACAATCAAGAACAGTTTTCTCTTATGTGGCTCGGAGTTATTGGGGATGCTCTAATTCGGCCTCATTTTCTACCTCCTTCAAGAGAAGTGCATCCAGTACTGCTGGAGAAAGTTCCTTTAGGCGTCAGAAGGGATATTTTTTATGCATGATGGGGCTCCCGCCCATTTTAGTCAAGTAGCACTTGCATGAAACATATGCAAATCAGTGGATAGGTCGAAGAGGACCACAGATATGGCCCGTTCGATCCCTGAATCTCAATCCTCTCGATTTCTCTATTTGAGGTCATTTACAGCATTTGGTTTATCGTACTCCTGTTCGCGATGTAGAGGAATTGAGAAACCACATCATCGATGCGTACAGGGTAATCAGAGAGACTCCAGGAATATTTGAGCGAATACGTGGCTCAATGCGCCGACGTCTAGACGCATGCGTAATGTCTGAAGGTAGACATATTGAACATTTACTATGATTTCTACATGTTATGTGTTTTGTTATTAATACATTAGTTTTGTTTATCACCTTTTGATCGTTTAATGCAGATACTAACTACAAAATAACAATAAATCCAGTTCGCATTTATGACGATGAATCTCTGTAGTTGTTCGTAAAATAATTTTTTGCTGCGAACTGGTTTCTTTTGGGCAAAAAACTCAAGAAATATTTTTTGTTTAGAATGGAACAGGCTATCGGAAATAAATTTTCAAATGGTACGAATAATAAGACAAAAAGTTACATTGGAAATAAATTTTAGGAGTTGCGTTTTCCACCCCTTACAACCATGGGGTAAACCAAATAAATTACTGGCTAAGTGTCTTTTTGGTAGTAAAAAACGTCAGGTCAATTTCAATATTGTTACTTTTTCAGTGCTTGTGAAAAAAATTGTTATACAAATTTCATGTAGGTACCCCTTTAAGGGGCTGTATCTCAACAAGGGATGCTCCAATGAAGTTCCTTTATTTGAAAGACTCTATCTTTTTTTCGGTGAGGAATCACCTCCTTGAATGTTTTACACTTATTCAGTGACACCCTGTATAACAAATCGAGAACTCAAAAAAAGATTTTTAAAAACAACAAACTTCAATGAACACTTCGAGGAATACTGGGCGTATTGTAACTATTATGTAGTGAAACACGTGTCACGGTTTTGTAAACTTTCAAGATAAAATATCATACCGATATGTATTTTTTGAATGCTCCTTTACATGGTCACCCGATCTGGGATTAACTCAGTCTAACGAAATGTTGAATTTCTGCTGATGAATTGAAGGAAACGTGCATATTCAATTGAACCCCTGCATACTGCTTGGAAAATAAATTGATTCTTATGGTCAGGTGATATTTCATATGAACAAGTTGAAACCACGTTTCTCATAAATGATACTGTGTTCTATATATATACACACTGAATCCAAAAGAATGGCCTGTCGATGATGCAGACATTATATGAAAAAAAACTAACTTAATAACATTTCTCGTTTTCTAAAAAACATAAAATTCAAAAGGGTTCATTCATTCTAAGTGGCATTGACGTTTTGAATTCATATCAAGATTATTTAAATGACAATATTCTTCGTACTTGTGATGCACTGTTTGGAACCTTTGGTGTAGTAACGAATATTAATGAAGTTTTTCCCAACACCAAATCGTTATTTTAACACCTCCACATTTGTTTCGATCACCAAGTGATCATCTTCAAGGGGAAAATCAAACTCTTTAATCTTCAAGTGATCATCTTCAAGAGGAAGATCAAAGTCTTTGATCACTTTGGTCACTTGGTGATAGAAACACATGTCGAGGTGTTTAAATAACGGTTTGGTGTTGGGAAAAACTCCAGTAATGTTTATATTCTTCGAAGTTTCGTTATTAGCAAGTAGTAGTATCTTCCAAACATTCAAATATCATCTTTTGGAAAATTGAGGCAATTGAACATGAGTAAAAAAATGAAATAAATAAAATATATAAAATGAAATTTGCTCAGCAGCAATAACGAATCGAAAAACTATGATAATAGGCTAACAATGTTTATCGTCTCCAGAAATTCAAACGATAGAAAAATCTTTCATAGAGCGGTCCACCATTTGTCTTTGAAATCATGAATATTTCTATCATTCACTAGATATTGAGATTGATTCATTGTGAATTTTTTCTATTTTGCAAATCTCAAACTTCCAAAATGTGAGTCGGATATACGTAATGATTTGTATTGCACAGTTTGAAACCTTTGGCGTAGTAATTAATATTACTGGAGTTTTTTCCCAACACCAAATCGTTATTTTTATCACCTCGACACGTGTTTCGATCACCAAGTGATTGTCTTCAAGAGAAAGGTCAAACTAAGTGTTATGGGTTAGAAACTTGTAGGTAAGTTCCGGTTTAGTTGAGGCGTAAGTAGGTATGTTGTCGCATTTTTCGAGGACGTCTTTTACTTCGGCAATCATCTTTGGTAACGAGTTCCTGGATGATTTTGCATACGGTCCGTTACTGATGAGAGTATTGACCCATTTGTGGTAGTCCGATTTATCCAGAATTACTACTTTGTTACCTTTGTCGGCTTTCAAATAGAAAATGTTTTTGTTTTTCAATCACTTGAAACGTTTCCGTTTATCTGCCATCATGTTTCTGGAGATTTGATTCCTGACTTTCTCCCGAACTAGTACCTTCGAGGAATCAGGTATACAGGGTGTAACATGAGTACGTTGAAATATTCAAGTGACGTATTCCTGAGACAATTTTAAGAAAAAAAGTCATTTTGAACTTGTGTCTAAAAATGCTTCGTTTCGGACATACGGGATATTGAAATTGAATTTTTTTGTTCGCTTTTTGAAGATAACTCTTACAAAAATTAAGTTATTTGCACGAAATTCGGTACCCGGAGTGTTTTTGACAAATCATAATTTCGTATTAATTTTCATGTAACATCTAGAGGGCGTTGCGTACGCTGTCATTATTTATTTCAAATTTCCATAACTTTTTTGACAGTAAACTTTTGGCACAGTATTACTTTATAGTCAAATTTCAATAATTTTTGTCACTCTCCGCTTGCAAATTAAGTTAATTAAATCGAATAAGGCTATGAAAGTTTGTTTATAAAAATAGAAGTTCATAAAATAGAAGTAATTGACAAATTCACAGTTTGGAGTTTACAAAATGATTTTTTGGTACCATGCCCGACTTTACGAATGATAAAATGGCTGATATGGTTTTTGCATACGGCTTTGCTGACGGAAATTCAAGCGAGGCCAGACGCATCTACCAGGAAAGGTATCCCCAACGCGTGACTCCTTGTGCAGCGACATTTGAGAATCTTTTCCGGCGACTTTCCGAATCTGGAAGCTTTGAAACAAATTCGGCAGTAGGACGGCCACGGACTACAAGAACTGTAGAATTGGAGGAGAAACAGCAATTATATCCGTATCATATTTAGCGTGTCCAGGCACTTATGCTACGTGATTTCCAACCACGTATCGAATTTGCTCAATGGCTCCAAAGGAAAGTCGAACAGCATCCGAAAATTTTATCGAAAATCCTCTTCACAGATGTGGTTAATTTTTCAAGAAATGGTATCATGAATTTCCATAACAACCACATCTGGGCGGAAGATAACCCACATGTGATAACGCAAACTCATTTCCAAGACAGATTCTCATTTAATGTATGGGTAGGCATAATTGGAGATTATTTAAT